CTAAAAATATTGATGATCAACACTTAAAACACACACACGCACCATCCAAATGAACGGATGATGAACGAAATAAACAAAGTCTAGCAATTGATTTGCTAGGATGAACTCAAGTATACCTCACAATGCTATATGTTCTCTGTGCATGCTAAATATGTGCTTGCATTGGTTTTTAGAAAGCATATGGTCTTTTTATAGACCATTGAGGTTGAAAGAGATTAAGGTTATCAGTTTAAAACCAATTTGGAAAATTCTTTTTCGCAAAGTTGACCCCTTAGTCACAGGATTCGTCTAAAGAGCAGGCGCTCCAGCACCTTGCATGTGACTTGGTTTGATTGGGAGCGAATGCAAATCAAATCCGCGGATTAAATTTTTTGAATTTGCATACTCTGTTTCTTATTTTGCAGATTTCAGTATTTCCTATTGAATGCACCACAGGCTCGTCCTACGAGCATAACAACTATGTGGATTCCTATTTTTTTCCATTAAATGACCACCACGTGCAATCACTGCACTTTGAATTAAAAATAAAACATGCATGTAAAATTGAGTGGTACAAGATTCGAAACGCAGACAACTAAGTAGGAAAGACACAAACATACTACCAAGCAACTCTTTCTTTGTTGATTTACTGCTCTATTTGATTTACTTAACAATTTTCAGTATATCATATCAGCTATGGAACCACTTGTGCAAATTAAAAAAAATGGACCCAAAAAAAATACATAATAAATTGATATAATCATATTTTAACATGAGTTAAGTGCAAATATATATAATAAAATAATTTTTTTTTTTTTTTAAAAAAAAAAAAAAGCACTATGGAGATGCTCCCTCTCAAGAACTTTTAGACTTTGTCGCTCTCCCACTCTTGTGAGCTTCCAGAGATCCTTCAATCAACTGAACTTACCTGTCCTAGTTTCAACATGATTGTAGTTTCTAAATCAATTTTTATTCATTCAACAAAAAAAAAATTAAGATCAAAACTTGCAAATTGCAAACCCTACCATATTTAATGATATGAATTGTTTAGGTTGTCATATTTCATAAATCAAAACTTGAGTCTGTAATTTTTTATTTCTCATTTTTTAATACCTTTCAAAAGAAAAAATATATATATATAGAATTTTTAAAAGTTGGGTAGTGTCAATTTGTTACCCCTTCGTCATGGTCGAAGATGAAATTCAAGCTTCATTTAAGAGAAAAAGTGTAATTTTTACACCAAGGGTATAAAGGTAATTGACACTTCTATGCACTCACCAAAATTAGGGTTCATGCATTAATCCATTAGGATTTTGAACTTCATGATTTGATTTTGAAAGTCCTAATTGATATGTATAGAATGTGTTTTGGAAACTACCTTTTTTGAAATTCTTCTAAGTACAAAACTACAGAGTAGCGGAGTATGTCAATCGATGACATGTCTCTTCATCTATCGAGCTCTTCCATAAACAATTTTCTTTTCCACTTATAACACTGGAAACCCTCATTGCTCTACAACACTATTCTACCTATAAGTAGATCCTATATATACACACAGAATATACGAGAGACATTTTTTAGAACTTTTGAGCGAAATTAAGTGCATGCATATTTATCTTTTTAGCATTTATCAAATTACAGTCAACTGGTGAGTGTCATATGAGAATTTCGACAACATATTTGCTGTGAAGCTTATTTGAACAAAGTTTAATGCTAACAATTATTCAATCATAATGAGATTAATTTGGACGACTAGTCATTGGAGATCAAATCACTAGTTGGAGAAGTGGAAGTGGATTATGTGACGAACAGATCTACTGACTATCAGACTGTATGCCTCAATATTCGAGTGGAGAGTTTGGTGGATCAATCTATGTCAAGAAGTAACTAGGATTACAGGGTGTTGTAACTCTTAACCTAGTTGTAACTTCTTAATCATAGTGATTTGGTTTGAACTAGGTCCCTGATTTTTCCGTTTGGGTTTACATGTAAAAATCTTCTTGTCAGAATTCATGCTTTTCTACTGCTTTTAAATTATATGCTTTTCTACTACTGTTTAAATTATATGATTGTTCAGCGTAATGGACTGATTAAATTTGATTACTTAGTTTTAATTTGAATTTGAACTTTTGATAATTTAGTTAGGTAGAGTGTGAGAGCATAAATTTGAAAGTACAATTTACATTTGCACTTTAGTTGAAGCTTCGTATTCACTACTATGCCCTTGCACAATGGTAATTCAACTACCTACCTTGATTAACTTTTAAAAATCATAACCAGAAGCTAAAATATAACATACAGGCTTCGTTTTGCACGAAAATTGCCAACTGAAGTCCTATTTGCCTAACAGAGATAGTTGCATAACAATACAAACAATTAATCAATTGTTAGCTGCTGCAACTTCTATTTCTGTTTTGGCTAAGGCTACTATATCTTTCTTTTTCTTTTTTGGAATTAATATATGTGATATTCTAAAAAGAAAAACAGGAATGTTCAGGAATACAACAACAATGATGCAAAGATATATGTATGGACCAAAGAGATAGTCTGGTTTTAGCCTTTTAGATCAACCTCCAGGAAAATAGGGTTTTCTTTTTATTTTCTCAACTTTTGCCCCAAGCAAAATTGACTCACCCATAACTCTTGGTGCAGAAGTTTTTGATGGATAAGGCATCGCTAGCATTATAATAATTTTATATAAAATCTCTTTAAAAATCAACCTGAATCCACTATTCACGTATTATCCCAAAAGGGCCTACATTCAAGCCATGAAATGCTAGTAACACAAACAATGTTTTCCTAGATCCTAATAATCATTAAGCAATGATAAAGGTAACTCATTTTACTCTATTTCTGGGTCCTCAATCTCTAACACGCACCAAGTGTTCTAATTGGAAATGCAAGCAAGTAAGAAAAATATACATGAACTTACAACTACAGTCAGTGTCCCCATGTCCCCATGGTTCATAGCAATGGATACCGAGCGTCAAGTTCTCTTAGCTGTCTAACACCTCAGACTTCAGAAATAACAATTCATTCACATAGTATAATAAAACACACTCCAGAGTTCCTAAAAAAATATGAGCTACTCATGCTAGTATGTTAATCACAAGATATGGATAATAAAAAGGTTCCTCTTCTAAAAAAGTAGTAGCTACTGGAGACTGGGAAGGACAACCAAAGCAGAAGTATCTATAGGTGCAAGCATCTGCCTTTAGGAACTAAACTATCAGTGGGACAGCAAAAGTCTTACTTTTCCTTCTCACAGAAAAGCACTGATGGTTAAAAAGGTTCCTCCTCTGAAAAAGTAGTAACTATTGGAGACTGGAAAGTACAACCAAAGCAGAAATATCTATAGGTGCAAGCATCTGCCTTTAAGAACTAAACTACCAGCGGGACTGCGAAAATTTACTTTTTCTTCTAATGGAAAAGACATTGATGGTCATATATGCTATTTTATTCAGCCTTTGACGTCAAAGGAAAACAGGTAGACGGGTAATGGTAGAGAAGTCTTTAAGAAGACACCAGAGTATAAATCATATATGCAATTGAAATGTACGAGGACCTTTATTAGCAAAATCATGTGATCTAATACGCTGGTTTAACTTTTTTCTTGACTAGCAGGGGGTGAAGGACCTATTTGATTACTTATTAAGTAGACTGGATAACATTTCCTTCTCAAGGATGGTTTCTCTTAAAAAGAAAGCTATAAAAGCTTGATTTTTAGTTTAACAAATACATTACTTTTTTTTTTTTTTTTTTGAGGCAAATTTATTCAAGTTGGCATTGGACTAACTTCTGCACCACTTCATGTAATTCTGCTATCTGGTTGGAACATTATAGTTAGTCAAACATTTATAGCTACTCTTTCTTGCCTCTATAATTCTTCAACACATGGCGAACATCACTATGTTCCACTTAAAAAGCCAGAATCATTTATTGACAAAATTAACTACCAATTTTATAAATTGCTCTCTTTCTAAAAACTTGTCATTGTGTGACTCTCAAAGGGTAGTTGAATGAATAAGAGCTCTAGGTCAGACTTCAGAGGTCTCGAGTTTGACTCCAAGAGGCATCAAACCTCTCTCTTGGGTTTACCCAATACCTCTGACTATGGTGGTTGTGGGAATCTGAGAATATTAGTCCCAACCCCTGTTAAAAAATAATAATAAATAAATAAAAATCTTTTGTGTCATCGTCACGAATTGACTCGAGACACCCTTGATCATCGAGTGGCTAAAATTTCTAAATTTAATTGCAAATAAGAACTTTGCATTGCATTTTATGTCTTAAAAAAAGGAAGCCGCATTAGTAGCTAACAACTAGACCCATATGAATAAGAATTAGGATAGTTTCCAATTGAATTCAAAAGTGCTCCGCAAGAAAGTATCGCCTAGATCAAGTGGAATAGCCACACAACATTAATGTAGCTAAACCAAAATAATGGGGCAAAAGCTATGTTATAAAGTACTAAAAAAATGAGATTTTGTGGGAGAAAAATGAAACAAACATTTGTTTCTCAACATCGTGTACTAAAAATGGTCATACATCTACTTATGGAACCAAATATAGCACTGTTAAGGGTTGCAGGAACTACAATAAGGGTTCTCGATTAAAAAAATCCATTGAAGTTTCATAAATTTGATCTCCAAATTGGTCCTCCTGGCCTTCAAAACACTATCTCCTAAGTCCTAACAAACAAGGCACCTCTAATACTTCAATAAATCATAAATCACATTTCACTAAACATGTCTCAGTTTTATCCACAGCCAAAATCGAACTCTAAAATTATATAAAAAGGTCAAACATGTCAATCACAAAATTCAATCCAAGAGTCCAAACAATTTCATATTACTACTTTTTTTTGGTTCTAACTTCTAATCCACAAATCAAACTAAGTACACATCAAAACACAGGTGAAAAAAAAATAAAAAATATTTCTTGAACCAAATAAACAGAGACATATGAGGGCATATATAAACATATATGTAAAGATATATATACAATTAAAACAAGAATACCTTGAGTGAGAAATTGAGGGCAACAGAAGGGTAGTAGCGAAGAACACTACTACCGTTGCCTCTCCATAGAGAGAGAATGCCTTCTTCTTTGACAGTTCGAACGATACAATCAAACATTCCCTGGAATCTCCTGTGTGGGCCAGACACAATCGCTATGTTGCTGTCTTGGGTCTGCAGCAGAAGCTTTGCCCTCTCGATCGGGGCCACAATCGTGTGCACCACACCCCCCATCACAGCTCCCGCCAAGAGATCCCTGTGGAAATTCGTCCACCAATTCGACGGCCCTGATCTTGTTCTTACCGTAGATTTGGGTTTGGATTCGCTGCTATCGTCTCCCTCCTCTTCCCCCTCCATCGCCGCCTCTGCCCCCACCCTCAATCCTCCCCTCTCTCTAAAACAACACACACAAACACTCTCTCTCTATATATATAACACTGTATGTATCTATATATGTGTATATATATATATATATATATGTATTGCTATGGTGTTGGAGTTTGTAAGAACAAAGTGCTGTGCTATTAATGTTCTTCGATTTGGAAATAGAAAGCTATCTTCTGGTTCGTTGTTTCTGATTCTCCCCCTCTCCTCTTTTTCTCTCTCTAAATCCCACACTGATGTAACGGAATATCAATCTCCGCGGTTGATTTTCTGATGAATGTCTTATTAGTCTAATTTTGCCTAAAATATACATTCCGTACCTGACTTCGGGGTACGCTAATGACACCCGAGGCGTTGAATTTGTAAGATGGAGGCTGCCTAGATTTTGCCATGTTAAGAATTATTATCCCAGGGTCAGCATCTTTTTATTTTGAGGACCTTTCGCTCTCTTTTTATTAGTCTATCATCCCTATAAATACATATTCATTTATGAATTGTTTCCAGTCTTATGAGAATTAAAAATATGACAGTTTAGTATATTTTTATTTTTATATTTTCGTATGAATTTAATAACTTAAGAAGCAAGACAGAGAAACAAACACGAATATATATCAACATGTCAACTTCATAGAAGTATAAATTTTTATTTATGTATCTATAGAATGAGACAATTGTAAAACTTTAATTAATATATTATTTCAGTTTTAAAGTCACTTAATGTTAGAAGCTGATTGCTATTCAAATATCAAAAAGAATATATTATACGAAATATTATACATATGCGCTAGAGTAACTTAGGCGGTCGACTAAGGGCCTAGTCAAGACATTAAAATTTTAAAATTTTTTTATATTAAGTTATATTATAATGATTTCCTAATATTATTAAACTCTAATAAATATAAAAAAAATTATATTAGGCCTCAAAATTTTATATCCTAAAATAACTTCTTCTTTTTTCTTTTCTATGTCCTCCCTCGTTTCGATTTTATAGTAGGTCTTAAATATTTATATTCTAAAATAACTTCTACTTTTTTCTCTTTTCTCTCTCCCCATAAACTTAATATTACGCCCTAAAGATTTACATCCTTATATGACCTTTTTTTTTTTTTTTTTTTTTCCCTTTTCTACTCTTATTCACGTTTTTCAATACATCCTGACCAATATAAAATTTTAATATTATAGAAAATTAATATTTGGCCCATTTTTTCCCCTCTTTCTTTTATTCTCATTCACGTTTTTACACCAGCACTAAAAACACATTTCTGGATAAGTTACACCAACATTAAAATATTAAATATATATTTAAGTTATTTAACGTTGGGGAAGTGGCGAAAACATTCCATATTTTTCTTTTTTTCTTTTTTATCTTCTTCTTTTCAACAAGTCTTCCCCTCGCCTCTTTCATTACAAGTTTACCATCGTTATGAACGCACTTTTATTCTATTGAAAATTTTAAGTTTCTAAATAATCTATGGTTCTTTTTCTTTAATTATTTTTAAATTTTATTAACTTTTATTATCATAAATTTGTGTGTCTATATATATTTGTATATTTTGTTTTTGAGTGGTGACTAATTTTAATTTAGGGTTAAATGCTCCGACACCCCCCGAGGTTTGAGTTTATTGCTCTCAAATTAAATTGAAAATTTTGGGTTTTCTAAATAATCTATGGTTCTTTTTCTTTAATTATTTTTAAATTTTATTAACTTTTGTTATTATAAATTTGTGTGTATATATATTTATATATTTTGTTTTTGAGTGGTAACTAATTTTATTTAGGGTTAAATGCTCAAACACCCCCTGAGGTTTGAGTTTATTACTCTTAAATTAAATCTGAGTGAAAGTTCCTATGACACCCCATTCAAGTTTGATTTAATTTTTTCTCACACCCTTGATAAAATTAAATACCTAAATTTCTCTCTTTACCCACCCTTGATATATATATATATATATATATATATATATATATATAAATATATAATTTGTATAAAAAAGAAATGCTATTATTCTATAAAATTAAAGATTTCCTTTCTAAATTAGTTATTTTTCTTAGTGTTTTCTTTAATACTATTATTATACTATCATAATTTTTTTTGTCACTATCATAATCATAATTTTTTTTTGGTAAGTAAAAAAGGTATGAAATATATAAAGTAACAATAAAGACATCAAAGAAAACAAAAATTTCGATTAGTGGTGGTGAGACATTCCAGAGGTAAAGCAATTTCTATTTTTATTTGTTTGGTACTTACATTTTATTGATAATATTAAATTTAGAAACTAAAAATAGTGATAGTGGCTTTGTATTAAAAGGAAAACATATAAGTGGGTTTGGAAGGCAACCATTAGATCTAATAGTCATTACAGAAAGTGCGGAAGAATTTTTTTGTTCCACGGGGAGCAAAAGATCACTACTTTATATCATATTACTATCTTATCTTCAAATTATCTTGATATTATGTAAGACGGATAGTGTAAGATGTACTAGTCCAGTGTTGGGAATGTGTTAATTAAGTATCCAAGATGTGTCAACCAACTGTCCAGGATGTGTCAGGCTAGTGTCCAAAATAATAAATATTATTTTTTAATAATGGACACAACCGTGACAGGTAAGACACGTGTTTAGGAATGTCTATGGAGTGTTTCAGTGTCCGATACGGCGCTGAACATGGACACGATACCTTCATAGAAGTGTTTGTGCTTCTTAGTTAATAACACAATCATTCATTTTATGTTATATTTAAAATGAATTAAAAAAATTCTTTTTTTTTTTGCAAGTGTCGGTTCACGAGTAGATATTGGGTGAATTGGACCCGTCATCACATAGGGATACCCACCTAATCAGATTCCACTATTTTAATGAAATGAGTTCTTCGAAATCCGACTCGAAAACTTAAGTCATTAGGTGGTGCTTTTTTTAATCAAATCACATGAATAACAATATATTCGACGTAAGAGGAGATAATCACATAAATACTAATATGTAATAAATAATAATATATTAAAAACATAATTTTAAATCTAAGTTTTGAGACGCATAATCGCTTCTTGAAGATAACTGAAATCTTCCCTAAATGCAATTGGAATTTTAAATGGCAATATTATCTCCAAGAATCAACTAAACCGGATTCAACATGCATAGAGTGGCACACTCTATGAGCCCATGTATTCTCCATCTAATCATTCGTCCAAAAAAATATAATTTAAGAAAATTATATTCTAAACAACTATATCAATATATATGTGTGTATATCGACTATATAAGTTGAAAACTTTACCAACATAGAATTGCTAAAATTCTATAATTTTGTTACCCAAAAGTTTACTAGAATTTCAATTCCAATCACCAAAATCCAGACTAGATAGTTAGAACCTTCGCCAGAATCATCAAACCTTCATTGCAATTCGGAAACCTCATCAGAGTTTCATCAGAATTTTCACCATCCTCACTAAAACTTGCTCTCAAGTCTGGTACGTCTACAATGGGCTCATCTCAAGCCTATATATAATGTTTCAATTTATAGGTGCTTTAAATGTTATAATTAACCCAGAATCCCAAAGGTCATCAGCCCATTCCCATTGGGAAAATTCTAGCCCATGCCCAGATTGAATGATCCAATAAATCAAGGGAGATGATCATTTCACCCTTTCTCACTAAGACTTGCTTTCAAGTCATACATCTACAATAGGCTCATCTCAAGCCTATATGCTTTAAATGTTGTAATTAACCCAGAATCCCAAAGGTCATTAGCCCATTCCCAAAGTGAAAATTCTGGGCATGATCAGTTCTGATGAAGAGTGAAAACCCCTTTCCCAGTTCGCCTGAGAAGTCTGATGCAAAATGAAAACTCATAATCTCCATCTACCAACTAGGCAACTTGTTGTTTATATTATAAAATAGGGAACTAATATATTTAAAGAATATTTTGAAAACATTTCTAAAAAGAAACATATATTTTAGAACATGTTCCAACAGTGTTAACACCCAGCCCATTTCAATTCCTATCTGAATTCGATGTGGGACACCTCTGACATTCTCCCCCACCCGAACTCGCATCATCCTCATTACGGTTCATTGTCTACCCAGGGCAGAGAGCTTAGCATGACACAGAATCAAGAATTGGCCCAGGCTATGATACCAAGTTAAAATGTAAGGCCCGATTTCGTTTTGCATTTTTCTTATACTTTTTAATTTTTGGTATTTTATTTTCTTCTATACGTGGGGACACGTGCCGTGGTCGGGAGTTGTTTGGGGCATTTATTTTGGGTTAAGAACCTTTAGAAACTCATTTGGAACCATTTCGGATATTTTCGATTTTCATGCCCATGTGGGCCAAAGGTGGGTCTTGGTGCTCGAAAAATTTTCGGCTTCATTTTTTACTTTCTTATTTTCTTATCACTATATATATATATATATATATATATATATATGTCTAAGTGGTATGCATGGCATTGGTGTAAATAGAATTGCACTAAGATGACATTTTATTAGTTTGGTGTGCTTGGTAGGATGCATGACGGCCCATTTCCTCTCTCTATCGAATTCCCTTCCTTTATCCCTCTCTCTTTGCTTTTTACTTTCCACCATTATTGCCAAGTAAAAAGCTTAATTTTGACCTGATATAAATGAGATTATGAGAAAGTGCTAGTTGGAGAAGTGAGAGAGCTTGAAGAGGCTATAAGATGGTGTAATTTTTGTGGCCATTGGAGAATCTTGAGATTTCAAACCTAGGCTAGAGCTTGGCTTTTGGGGTGGTTTCAAGAGAAAAAGTTGTTCTCCTCTTCTTCCTATTCATTTTGGTGGTCTTAGCTTTTAAATTGGTGGAGTTTCCACCTTGAAGCAAGCCAGGGCTTGGCTTGGATGTGAGGTAGGGGTGTCTAATTCATGGAGTCCTTAAATTTTGTGAGTTCTTATATGATAAATTATGTGTATACCATGATATGAAAGACTTGGTGTGGTAAATTGTTCACTTTGTTAATTTTAATGCCATTTATTAACTATCTTGGTGCTAAATTGTGAAACTCAAATGCTATCTATATTAGCTTATTGCTAGCATGCCTTGTGTGTTGATGTTGTGCTAATTTGTGAGCTAAGGCGATGATTACTTGAGAAATTGTGTGTATTATAACATGAAAATTGTGAAGTTTATCCATATGATGGTTAGAATTTAGCTCTTTTGATTTCAAGCATGTTAGGTGTTTGCTAATTTGTCAATGTGAAGCTATTTATTGATGTTTGTGTTTAAAATACATGTCTATGTAATGTGGTTATATGAGTACTTAGAGGCATACTAAATTCATGATGATAGCTAGGAGGTTGGCCATTGATAAGTTGAAAGTTGAGCATCCATGGGAGCATTCATCATTTAAGCATTGGGTAGTGTA